GAAGTGCTGTACCAACCAGAGGCAGGACAGGAACTGCCCGTGCTGGCAGCTCCCAGCACCTAGACAAGGCTAGACTCTGACGGCAAAGGAATTAGTGCTTGAAGGACATGGAGTCACAAGAAGAGAGGGGAAGGGATCTGTGTGGAGTTTGGGGACACAGACGGGTACAGTCCCCTCTGGTTACAAACCTCGCCTATGTTCCCGGCTTAGCCCCCTGTTGCCCATGGTGCTGGTGCCTAAGCAGAGCAAAGATGCAGGCTTTGCCCTGGAGCCCTCATCCCAAGCTGGTTCTTCTCTTGCTTTGCTGTTACGTGGCTGTGGGCCCGGGCTTTACTGGCATCGGGCGCTCTGTCCCAGTCCAGGTCAGTGTTAGTGTTATCACAGGCAGTGTGCAGATGCCTCCAGAGGCCTGGCCCAGACACTGGCAAGGAACTCGGTAATGTGACAAGGATAGCAGTAAACAGGCTGGAGGGTGGCACGGCAGTCACGCGATGGTCTGGGAGGTTGACCCACATGGGAATGTTCCAGGTTCACATCCAGACTCCTCCTTGAGTACACCTGGCGTGCATGTGCCCACGATCCAGGCTGGTTGAAACTGGGGCAGATCATGGTGTCAAGACCCTGTTGGAGGTGCTGTCTCTCACAGAACACATTTTTTTTAAAGACACCATAAAACTAAGAACTCTGCAGGGTCACAGGTGGTGTGGTGATTAAGGCACTGGGTCCCACATGGCTAATTGTCTGGTTCAAGTACTAAACCGAGCACCTTGAAAAACACACTGGGCACATGTGCATGCATGCCCCAAATCCCAAGACAATAAAGGAGAGACTATGACCATCCAAGAGGTGTGGCCATCCCCCAAGGGATGCTCTCTCACTTTCTCTCTTTCTCTGATGAGCCCTATAGCAAAACTTTTTTTTTTTTTTTTTAGAGGTTTTCGCTATAGGGCGTGTGTGCTCGCCAGACAGAGACATAGAGACAGAAAGCGAGAAATCACCCCCCAGGGGGGATGGTCACGCCGCAATCCCTTCTCCATTCTCCTCTTGGGATCTTGGGCACGCACGCACACGCACCCGGGCTGAGTTTTAAGCCACCGGGTCCGGGACACGAACCGCGGTTAACTACGTGGGAATCCAGCGACATAGCCATTACGCTAACTGCTGGTTCCCTAGCAAAACATTTTTTAAAATAATAAAAATTAAAACACACCAAAATCTCCAAAAACCCTTGAGTCTCACGCTATGTAAACTTTTTCTTTTCTTTCTTTTAGCTTTTGCCATAGGGTACATGCACTCACCAGAGAGACAAAAAGAGACAGTGAGAGGGAAAGTGAGAAATCACTCCCAGGGGGATGGCTATACCGCAATCTCTTCTCCATTCTCTTTCCTGGATTTTAGGCACGCACACACATGCACCGAGTGAGTTTCAAGCTGCTGAATCTGAGACTTGAATTGTGGTAAATCATGTAAGTGTCGAGTGACTTAACCACCACACCACCTGCTGCTCCTCCCCTTTTCTTTATTTCAGAGAGAGAAAGGAAACAAATAGGTACTATCGACAGGCTTTTGCCATGTCATCCTCCTCCTACCCCAGCCTCCCAATTAGCGAAGACCGAAGGCACTCAAACCTGCACCCAGCATGTTCGGGTTGGCCTAGGAAACAAACCCAGACCTCCCATGTGGCTTCCAGCCTCCCAAGTGGAAGTGCTATCTGTGCTCCACCACGGCTGGCCTCACTGTGTAATCTTGGACAGGGCGCTTAGCTTTTCCTGCTCAGTGTCAACTGCAAAGGACAGGAAAGCTAAGATTTCGTCCAGTTCAAAACACAATGAGGCTCAGCCCGGGTGGTATAGTTGCAGCATGGTGGGCTGCAGTGCTGGAGGCCACATGGCTAACACATGGTTTGGATCCCTGGGTCTGTCTGAAATCACACTGGGGTCACAGGATCCCGATAAGCTAGAGGGCTGGGAAAGGAGATCACAGTGTGATGGGACCCACTGGGGTGCCTCTCTGTCTCGCTCAGGCACATGCGCATGTGCGCGATCATGAATTAAAAAAAAAAAAAAAATCGATGAGGCCTTTGTGGCTGCATCTGGAGTGGCTAAGAAGGTCTGGCTCTCCCTGGATAGGCCCGAGGGGGTCTGGAGGGAGCTCTGAGGGTTTTCCCTTCAAAATTAGGACCTGCAGCTGAGAATGGTGCTGCACACAGAAGTAGCAGACACACCTCTTGGTTTGAATAAAAAGATTCAATCCAGACTGCCTCTTCCTGATCAGACCGTCCTCTCCAAGAAAGCTGCTTCCTTTCCCAGCAGTTATGAGGTGAAATGAGCTGATGGACAAGACAGCACCCTGTAAGCCATAAAATGCAATACAGGCGGCGGTTAAGGATCCCATAGCTGGATCCCATATGACCGACTACATGATTCAAGTCCCGGCAGCTTGAAAAACAAGCTGGGCATTGTATGTGTGCATGTGCTCAGAATCCCAAGAGGAGAACGAAGAAGGGACTGTGGCGTGCCATCCCCTCTGAGGGCACCTTCTCACTTTCCTGCTCTCTCTCTCTCTATCTCTCCGGTGAGTACACGACTTATGGCAAAATAAAGAAAAAAAGCAATACAGGCAAAGATCTAAGATAAAGCCTGCTTTTCCTTCCCTCCTGCCACCTTTCATACACATGCTCCCTACCTGCCATCCTTTCTCACACGGGCTCTCTCCAACTCAGCAAAACCTGACTGCTATAGATCATGGTTTGCAAACTCAAATTAACTGCAGGAGCCCAGCAGCCACACAAATGAGTGGAAAACACCAGATAGAGAAGGCCTCCTTTGATGGAGACATGGTTTGAGAAGTATCAATACTACACTTTCTTTTCTGCTCTTTTTTTTTTTTTTTAATTTTTTCAAGAGATTTTTACTATAGGATGCATGCACTCACCAGAGAGAAAGTGAAAAATCACTCCCCAGGGAGATGGTCACACCACAATCCCTTCTCCTCCATTCTCTTCTTGGGATCTCTGGTACACATGCACATGTGCCTGGAGTGAGTTTCTAGCTACCAGGTCCGGACTTGAACTGTGGTTGACCACGTGGGAGCCCAGTGACATAACCATTATGCCACCTACTGCTCCCTCTTTCTTATTCTACTTTAAGAAAACACCAAAAAATCTAAAAGCAAGCCATGATCAATGGCAACTGATGCTTGATCAGGAGCCGGG